AAAAAAAAAAAAAAAAAAAAAAAAAAAAAAAAAAAACAACAACAAAAGTTCCTATCCAAAATAGCGGTTGTTGAAATTTGTATTTTATAAAGCAAATTAAAAACTTGTCGTTGTGCTGTGTGGAGTCATAAAGCACTTGGGGATTGGCAGAACACTCAAGAAGTGTTGAGAAGCATTCCACTACGCGTCGTGCTTTTCCAAACACTTAGAACTCTCGTGTTCTGCCAATCCCCGCGTGCTTTATAGCTGCACACAGCACGCATGCGCGATTTCTATTTCTTCATTTTCTTTATTGTTGAATAAATAAATTAAAAATAAATTGAAAATGGAAATGAGGAACTTATGAATGATGAGGGTATTTCTTTTATGGATCGAAGTTGGTACAGGTCATTACTGTCCACCATGGCGTGACAAAGGAAAAATCTTCGGGTTACGTATATTGTGAAAAATAGTAGAATGATTGAATCGAAATAGAATCATAGGTTGCCATAAATGAGCCCCGGCTGTCATTTATGCGCTCGTTGACGTCAGCTTTATCTGTCTGTCCTCTTGTTGATGATAAAAGATAACCAATAAGCGCGCGAGAAATTTGTAAGTTATTATTGTAAAAGACTCAATTCAAAATCTCTGACTGTTTTGTTTTCTTCAGCTTTTTCACTTCCATTATGAATTGCTTGCAGTGGTTTCTTTTGATGTCAATCCTCACAGCGAAGACAGGTAAGTTTGTTCTTGTTGTTAGCCCCGTTGTGTCGGTTCGTATATCTATTGCTTTTAACTAAGTATCTTTTGAGGTTCCGGGTTCTCTGACACGGGATCACATGTGAGTAGACTTTGGGGGTTTTCTTAGGGTTCTCAAGTCCTTCTACAGAAAAAAACCTAACAAGCTTAAATACCAATTTGATCGGTGAGTTAGCCATACCTTGAATTACACTCAAATAAAAAGCCTGAGATGATCACGTTAAATTCGATCATTAACATATTGGAAGTATAAACCTTCATAACAAAATTCTAAACGTATTGCTTCAGGGTAAGGTTTACAGTCAGCGGCTTCAAGAAGTGACTGTAAAGTCCACTTTGTCGTTTGAAAGTTAATTTTCCATATATTTACAATTGCATGAAGATGTTTTCGTCTGATTTGCAGCATGTGGACTTTTAATTGAATTGATTGCGCGATTCCACGATTGTGAATTAGGCAAGGGGTCTGTTATAATCATATAACTCAAATAATCAACCACGTAATGACTGACACTAATTCGTATTATGTAAACCCTGAAGATGGCTGTGGAGGTCGAAAGCGTAATTGGTAGTTATTAAGCAAACAATCTTGCCTGGGTTGATAATACAATACAATATTTTATTATTAATTCTCCCCGTGGGGTTTTTCAGAATAAATTTACAACCTACAATTAACTAATAATAATGAAACTAATGAAATAAATGAATGAAACAAATCATTGTTCCTACGTCAACAGCATTTTTGAGGCCATTTTTTGGGCGTAGGATCGATGATTGGATGCTCCCATGCATTTTGTTTTCAAGCTTTTCTGGTGACTAAATGTATAGGAAATCGCACGATCTCGAGTACAATTTGGAATTTATAGGTACGAGTGATGTTTTGAAAGTTTTCAAATTTGACATCACGAGTATCTATAAATTCAGAATTGTACGAGAAGATTTTGCGATTTTTTGTTTATAATAAACTCAAATTAAAAAATTGAGCAACTTAATTGGGATTCTACAGAGTACAATTTGGAATTTAATTGTACCCCTCTTGTCCAATCAGAATCGAGAGATTTTGTTGAGTGTATTTTAAATAAAATAATAAGTATATCGGTGCAATATCATCCTCATCATCCTCATCCTCATC